TATATATATATATCTACACATATAAATACCTCATATAAAAAGTCATATATACTAAGTGGCTATGTATGTATATATATATATGTACGTTATCACGCGGCCTTAGCCTGCAGACGAACTTGTAACCCTGGACCCCAAGCCCTCCACTCAGCAGCAGCTGTGCGACATGCGCGTTAAAACCCTAACTCCGAACCCTAAATTGTAACTTCCATTTTCTTTTCCATTATCCCTATATAGCCCCTATATAACCCCTTATAGTCCCGATAATAACCCCTATATAGCCCCTATGTAACCCCTATATAAACCTCTCTATAACCTGGATATAGCTCCTATATAGCAACTCATTCCATGGTTCCCTGCACCTGCGTTATGCAGGCAGCCAGCTGTCAACACATCACTTTTGCTGTTGCGGCTGAGTATGCCCTCTACTCTTCGCCGATGCTTGCCCGCAGCTTCATACCTTTACCTTAGGTGGACCCCCCCAACCAGTAATAGTAGTGATTCTAAGGGATAATAGTAACTATATTAGGGTTCTGTTGTATCCCTAGTATACCACCATCACAGGGTGGGGAGTCCACCTAATTCATACTCCGCAGAGACGTTGCAGGATACTCCTCGGCGTGCGCAGGCTTCTGGAGCACTCCAATTTTTACACGGTCGCAAATCCAAGTTTAACAAGAAAAGCCAAGTCCCTTCCCTGCAGATTATGCCTCACGTCGAGAGGCCTACACCTTGCATCTTACACCGGACATCCCCAAACGCAACTAAGGAACTTGCTGAAGCTTCTCGATGCAGTTCCAGGTTCATCTCTGACAATCTTTTCCGGTGGCTAATCTGCACTTCGCGGCCCAACAAATTTCTTCCACCTTGACGTTTCGGGGTTTGGAGTTTGGGGCTTCGCGACCCCCACCCAACAAATTCATCAGCACAACGTGTTCCTAATATCAGCTATAGCAGCTATAGACCAATATCCTAGTACCCCCCTTAAAAAAAACCCTTGTAATACTACCCTGTATAATCCCCATGTAAGGAGTAGCTCATACGTGAGTACGTTACCGTTGTTGACTGGGGAATGTGCTGTATCATGGGGCATCCGGACCTGTTATGCGATTTAGGGTCTAGGGATGAGGGAAGCTGATGACAGTTAAACAGCCATGGAACACTTTGGGATCAAGATTTCATGGGTTGCTATAGCTATTCACAACGGGTCGTAAACGAGATTTACAGATATGGGGCTTCAAATCAGAAGTATGTAGGATCTATGCTTTAGGGCCCGCCTACCACCCCTGAACTGGTATGGAACTTCCTGTGGATGCCTTGAAAACGGAGCGGACAGTATGGTCTACTGCTACAGAGCCCCTTCTCTCGCCCTCGTACTTTTCTTGCTGAGATGGTGTGGAGACTAAGAATAAGATCTTGTACTGTCTGCTTGGAGTGCGTGGTTGAGCAAAGGGACTGCCAGCGCTGAGCCGCTGAGCCCA